CCCCAAAACCCCAAAACCCCAAAACCCCAAAACCCCTTGGAGTAAATTTAGGATTGAAATAATGATATTTTAACTTTTTTGGGATTTATAGTCAGCATTTCTCCTTTTAGTTTCAAAATTCAGGACTTTGAAAATGAAGCACAAGAAAGGGGTTTCAAAAGGAGGTATGAGACTTGGATATTTTGGCTTGGTATTGAAGCACTTAACTCATTGAGTGATCCCAATAGAAGGATTTAGAGACCCTTCAGAGTCTGTATTTGTGATTTATGGCTGTCACTTGAATCTCTTAAGTCACCTATATTTTGTAGGCTTTTTGTCAGAGGATTGGCTTAGAGGAGTGTAATTTTGGGCTCTGATGAAACTGTGACTGATCCTATGAGATTAATTAAAACTTCAAAATTAATGTAAAAGGTCAGCAAAAATCAATTTTTGTATATTGTCTCGCTTCTTATGAAATAGATTTTTGTCAAAAATATTACCTTGTACTAGCAAACCATCAGAATTTAATTTTTCTATGCATATTTTGAAAATTTCTTCAATATTGGAAATGAAAGCAAAAGTTGAGGTGAAATCAACAGGGGTGCAGTTTTCTTTAGAGCTCACAATAAACCCATCTTCTGCTCCAACTTTTTTTGCAACACTTTTAACCTCATTATAGGCTTCATCTATCTGTTGTTGGAAGGCAAATTCGTCGACCTTATTCGCTATTATATAAAAAGGAGCTGGCTTGAACTCTCCAATGAAAGATTTCTGTGTAATTTCACTCTCTATAAATAATAAAAGAACATGTTTTAAACTATAAGACTCAAAGTACTGAATTCAAGGAGTTCCCAACTGCCCTTAAGCAGTTGCTTTATCACTTTATTTGAGTAAAGCAGTTAATAGTCTTTGAATTAGAATCCCAAACAGATAACAATAGATAGCTGAGTTTCTTACCTTCTTCGTGTTGGTGAAGAACTTTTAGCCATTTTTCAATGGTCTCAACCCAGTCAGTATCTCTTGCATCTACAAGGATGAATGCAGCTGATACATTCCGGGTTATGAATTTGGGCAGGTTTGTGTCTGAGTCACCAGCGTATGTATCGAAGATGCGGAGGTCTATTTGTTTGGAATCTGATGTTTGGAGAAGTTTATTTGTAACCATCACAAGTAATAGTCTTCCTTTTCTTTCGGTCTTGGTCTGGGAATATAAACTTTTGGATGAAAGAGGTTTTGCCCACCTCTCTATCACCAAGAACAAGAATTTTAACTCTTAATTTCTCTCAAGACATCCTATTTAATTTATTTATAGATATTTTTGCAATAATTAACTTTCCTTTTGGGGTTTTGGGGTTTTGGGGTTTTGGGG